ATCGGCCAAGTTGTCTCTTTCAAAATAGAACACTTGTTGCGAAGTGTTGAAAATATGTCGCGCAAATTCATTTGAGGTTGCTTTTTGCTGTTTCGATCTGCAACAATGTTGCAGTTTTGATCTGCAACATCACCTCTAGCACAACAAACAATTTTTCGTGTTTCAACATTCAACAATGTTCTTTTAACATACTACATTTCATTTTCAGCAAATAGGATTTCGCATCGACTTGTGTATTATATTGTTTCGCATGGCATTGGCAGTCCCGTTATTTTTGCTGTCAATGTAAATATACACCTATAATATTGAAAATAAAAAATGTATTATATGCATTTATATTAAATTCAACGTATAAACATTATTAAAATTTTATAAAGTTAATATTAAATATTTTAATATTTAGGTTAGAATAAACGTGCTAGTTTGAAAAAAAAACAAAATTTTGGTTGTGAACATTAAAGTACCAGTTGCAACATGAAGCGTTTTATTTTCAACATTTTTCAATACTAGTGCCGTTCTAATCTATCAATCCAGAAGTCTTGGAACAAAGATTGGAACGTTGAGCTGCAAAACCAAATTTGTTTTGGTCTATGGTTTGGAATGAAGTTGCAAATAAAATGGTCAAAAATTATTGCCATTAAATGTTTAGGTTGAATACTGATATGAGGTAATTTGAAATGTTGTTTCATCATAAGATGCGAGGATGTGTATTTTTGTTGTGTGTGATATTTGTTCAATTCACTAAAAAATTTGAAAAGATAAGTCTGGAGAAATATATTTGAGAACTAAATCCTGAGATCAGTGGAGATTATAGAACCACCATTAACCTGGAACGATCTCAATAAATTTTGAGAAAAATTTCAAATTCTGGTTTTGGAATGATTTTATTGAGTTTTCAACATTGTTTTGTTGAGGCATTTTTGAAATTTTGTTAGGGTTTTGTTAAGAATTGTATTATAACCTATTTTAAGAGGCGTGTATTATAACTTAATTATTTGAGTTGCTGGTCTGATTTATTTTTTGTTACTCTGGGATTATTGATTTCTACACTTCCATTCAGCTTTCTTTAACGTGATAGTATTAATAAATAAAAACCTAAAATTTTCTTCAACGTTGGTATGTTAAATTTGTTGTCAAAAAAAATTTCATTCCAACCATAATATTTTCAATAAACCCAGCTGACATGTTTGATGAAATTTCAAAAGGTTGACGATATTGCCCGCCCATCACATTGACGATCACCTCGCTACAGGCTTGGCGCGGTTTTGTTAAAGTTAATGATTGCTGCTTTATAGTTGTTTTGTTGTCAATAAGGACTTTATTGCTTTCACAATTAGAACTCAATTCCTCGCTCTAAAGTTAATAATGTTTCGTTCAGCTGGTTTATTTTATATGGGTGCAGGGTCATCATATAAACGAACATGCATATACTATACTTAGTTATTGCATGTGCGATTATATATACGTGCAGGTATACATCCATGAAAGAGTACGTGCATGTTTGTCAATAATGATATAAACGCAACACACAGCGTAGTCTGAAGAAATATGATAATGTTCTTGTATAATTGATTGCGTGCCTCGTTGCGCGCCTGTCGCAACGTGATCAGATGGTGGTATGAAGTTTAAGTAACACGAACAACAACGAGAAGAACTGTAGCGTTCAGAAGTTTAATGAATCATCTTTGTGTTAGCAAGAAAGGGAAATTGAAATGATAAAGTTGAATTATGTTGAGACATGCGTGTCAGCTCTTCCGTCTTCTTCTTCTTTTCCTATTCTTGCATGTGTGCCTCTTGCACTTTCATATTAGTTGTTTTAATTAATCTGATTATTTTTGTATTATTTGTTATTGGCATTTTGCATTTTTATTTCAATTTTTGCAATTCTTGTAAAACAATTTTTATTACATAAACTTTAGTTTTGATACTTTCCTCAAAGGCACATAAGTCCGCAAAGTTCATTTTTTCAACATCGACCCTAACGAGCCAACACAAACAACAGGAAGATAAAACCAAAAAAACCGACCACAACAAAACTAACGCCACTGAGCGAGACATCGTTCAACGCCAGCAGCTAAAGATAACCCACGTCAATAGGATGATCCAATCAGGCATGAAAATAATATCAACTTCCCTTCTGAGCGAAGGCTTTTCAGTTTTCTGTTGTTACAACGTGAAAAATTATTTTCCAAGACTGCAAAATAGTGCATCATCGCTAAATTTTTTTTTTTTGTGATAGAAGAAGTGTTGGAGACGTTGAAATAATCTAATTTATAAATTAATAATAAATTAAAAATAATAAAATAATGAAATTAGAGTTACAATAATCTAATTAAAAAACTTCATGGAATAACTCGAAGTAGTTTTCTATTCATAAATGAAATGCCATCCGTTTCACCACACAATCACACAAACATCAGCACACAGACATTCACACATACATCGTCACATCTCCAGAACACTACACATACATCAGCACACAGACATTCACACATACATCGTCACATCTCTAGAACACTATACATACATCAGCGCACAAACACGGCAATAGCAAAGTGTACATTCAATCAATATATCAGTAACAATGCAATCGACAGAGAGAAGATAATAATATACAGCTACGCATCAACCAACAATTTCATCGCAAACAACAACAAAAACAACGGCAAGATGATGAACCATGTTAATCGATTGAAGATATAAAAGCGATCGCTAACAAGTGCTTTGCACAGAAAATCACTTACACATACAAACATACAAATCGACACAAAAACATACATACATACAAACCAACAAACATTCTTTCAAACATACAAAAATACAAACAAACATACACACCAACATACATTCTTACAGACATACAAACAACCATTCAAACCGACAAACATTCTTGCATACATACAAAGATACAAACATACATTGATTGCCATAACATACAGCGGAGCGTACAACAAGCGGATACACCGCCAGAGATTTATGTTGACCTGCGAACTTCAAAATACAAGCAATCAACCGACTGCAAGCAAACGAACCTTTTTTATGATTTCACGAAAGGCATTCCAGGCGATGGAAGGAATTAATCTGGATTATAATTGGGAGTGGGTTGATGATAGAAGTGTGTAATTGAATATTATAATTGATGTTCTTCACTTCTATATGCACCTCCTCTCTCTCATTTCCAGATCAGCAGCGCCATAAAATTATATTGCCTGCCTTGATAGGGTTATAGTGCAATGAAAAAAAATAATTACCTTTATGTAGATGCGTGAAACGCTTTGAAAAAATAATTAATTGGATTTTATTTCTTTGCGATTCGTTCTTTCTTTTTACTTTGTTTTAGGTGGGTGAATTTATAGCGAACGATTTTTGCTGTCTCTTTTGTCCAAATCCTATATACATATATTTGAAAAATTGCATTGCTTTTAAGTAATTATTCATGTGTGGTTGGTACAGTTTTGATATGCTGAAATATCTTACAACAACTATCATTAATTCCAACTATTAGTATGGTTTGAGGTGTGAGCTTGCTGAATTCAAAACTACGACTCCTCTTTCAACCATGTTTTGTCATTTTCAGCAAAGAAACTTCAACAGGTTATTTAACATTTCTCTTCAATGTTATACGGTGTTATAAAGATAATATTTCGTGCTCAGAACACTAAATAAAGCCTTACTGCAATGCCAATCATTCAATGTTGGGTGGTTGACCGTGTGCTGATGAATCGAATTATCAAAATTAAATCATCAGAGAATTAATTATTACTTTTTGTTAGCATAGAGTTGTAACCTGGGAGAAACTTTGTTGCTTTGCTAATGCGGAAATCTCGCATAATGATCAATTTAGTTAGAATTAAGGGTAAATTTAACAATTCTTTATATAAATTCAAGTTGTAAATTTTCTCAGATCTCCAACGCAAGATTTACAGTTGATTAAAATTGTCATAAAAGACGAGATTGTGGAACGCGCAAGAATGGGGCGAATCAACTTATTTTTTAAGATCCGTGATGTTTCTTCACAGAACTGCGATCGTCGTCAAACGTTTGAAAATAATTGTTTTTATTAACTTGAAATTTATCAAGCCATTTCAGGCCATAACAATTCCATAACAATTCCACACAGCTCCATAAAATATTTAAAACCAAATCACCCAATAAATAAGACAGAGAGTTGCCAATATGTGTTAAATGTTCTTCGAAAGAAGAAAACTTCTGGGCGGCGCGATGGTGTAATGGCTAAGGTGCCTGGCATTGTTGATGGAGTGTCCGGGTTCAAATGCAAAAAGATCCCCACCTATCACATGCAAAAGTGTGTGATGCGTTGATTCACGTGTATTTGTGCACCGTGTGTTTGTTGTAGTAATGATAATGCGCCTCAGTCGCTGCAATGGCGCTATATAAAATGACATTTTTATTATTATTTCTAAAATCAGTCGAAGAAATTAAAATTTGTTATTTTTCGGGATATTTTTGATTTGAGTGACATCTTTTGAATATTATTATAAAAAGGAACTCGAATTTTTTTTTATTATAAAGTTGGTGTTCAGTTTCGAGCGTTTTCAATTGGAAATTTCAATTGAAGAGTTATTACACTGGTTCAAAATTCAAGAGAAAACTAAATAGTTTAGTCCAGCTGCTATGATTATTTTGCAAGAAAACAGAGTAAATAATTTTTTGCACTTTGAATGGACATATACAGACAGCTATAAATCAGTTACACAAACTTCAACAGTAAATAATATTCTTAAATTTTCAACCATTTAACTTTGAGTGTGTCCTGTTACGATATAATTTCAAATGTTACGAATACATCTACTAAGCAAAAAATAATAAGTTTTACAAGCAATAATAGAGAAAATTTTGAAGTAGGTACAAAACAATTAAGACTTAGGTTTGCGTCTACAAAATAAAATCCACAATGTAAAATTTATTCTTTGTGAACTGCATTATAGTTGCATCTTCAAAATTTCAACGTAGCCATCAAGAAGAATAATTTCCATCAATCAATAGTCACGGCTGCCGTAGTTGTCGCTCCCTGCGTAGCTGTTGGGGCTGATGCCGATTGCGCTGAAGTAGTCGCGACTCTCTCTGTCCAGCTGTTTGTAAAAGTTTTGTTCATTTGGTGGAATAAATTTGTATATAATTATTATGAAACTTGTGCAATTGCTTTCTCGTTGAATTCATAAGTTTGAATCTTTTAAATTTTTCGTCGGATCAAATGACAGTTGGAAGTTTTTGTCTCTTTCACTGGTAAACTTTTATGTACCTAATAAGTTATTTTTTGAAAGTAAAACGATGAAATCTGTTTCTTAATACTTAATGTTTACATGTCGTAAGATATTTTTTCATGCTCATGAGTGTGGTTTCAAAGTAAACTGTTGAAAAATTTTCCTGAACGACCTTACCTAAACAAATATAGAAATTATATGTCTATAGCTTCAACTATGTTTATGGTTTCAACTGTGTCTATGGTTTCAACTGTGTCTGTTGTCTCAACTATGCCTATGGTTCCAACTAATTACATTTAAGTCTACTTTGAAATGCAAACGTGTAAAATTCAGAAGAACTCAGCGGTCTGTTGCTCAATAAAGCTAACATACTTCAATAGTTCGAAAATTGTGAATATGTTGTTATTTACAAAAAACTTTTGAAAAAAATAAAATTTCAAACTAGCACAATTAGAAGTTGATTTATTCTTATAAATAATTATTACGCTGTAAGCGCACATACCTCATCCTTCAAGTCCAACACTCTTTTCATCAGAATCATCTTTTTCTTCCTGCTTGCTGGACTTCTTTTCAGACTCCTGGCAATTCTGATGTTGACATCATTTAAAGATGGTGACCTCAGGATGTTGACGTCATTTGGAGGTGGTGACGTCAGTGGTTGCAGTGCATCTGCGGGACGATCCTTCAGTGTCAAAGTTGAAATCGTAACAACCAACGATAACAGTACGAACACAAATGCAAATTTTTTTAACATTTTAATTTCTAAATTTCATGAGCAATTTTCATTGAAAAAAAAAATAATGAAATTATTTTATTTTTTAATTAAAATATTTAATTTAAAAAACTGTTTAGTTTAAAACTGATGTTATGACACAAGTGATGTTATAAAGTGCACGCACGCAAATAGGTGAACAACTTTTTGTTTTGTCGGTTGGAATGCCATCACTGGCTGGTTGGTTGCTGCAGATAATTATATCTGCTCAATTATCTATTCCAAAATATTTCACCATAACTGATAGGTTGTAATCGGTTGCTGAGGTGTGCTTATGAAAAGTTTGGAATCATTGTACGTGCTATGACGCTTTCATTTCTACAAAAAAATAATGTGTTTGAGTAAAAGTTTTATTTAAAAATCATCTTTACTTCTTTCATTAATCTAAAAATTGATATTCAAAATGAAATTAACCAAAAAATATCATAAATTGGTTTTTAATTTTTTTTTACCAACGGATATCTTTCAAATTTTCCATTATAAAAAAAACAGGGTCACCAAATTGGAAAAACAGTTAACCAATTTACGACAATTAAAATTCAATATTCCAACGACAGCTTCAAACAGGGAACGACACATACACTAACTTTACTTCACACTCGCCTAAACACGCATACGCACATCTATGACCCGATAACTTGTTTTCAGCATCATTAAAACATATCAATCAGATAGGAACGTTATAAAAATAGTTCATCGATAGTGTATTATCCAAAATAATGACAGTGATGACTACGGTGACAAAATTTAAATTTTCAAACTTTTGGCTGTTCACTTCGAGATCAAATTAATTGTTCAAAACTGATGTCCAAATAGATTTTGTATTATAAATAGTTAGTGTTATTGAGGAAGTTATTTTAGAAAAGGCTGGCATTGCGCTTAGGACAAAGTTTTATAAATAAAGTTTTTTTTAAAAATATAAAAAAAAACTAATGGCCTAGTGTCAAAAGCTATTTTGATTCTAATGATCTTTAACCTAGTAGAATCAAATGTTTTGTTGGTCTTTTTTACCCCATCTATATTCTACATCATATGTTAGAATTGGCTGAAAGTGAGCGGGAGTGAAAAGAAGAAAAGAATAGTATTCGTTTGGATAGGCTGGTCACATGTTTCGTCCCTACCGGGGACTCATCAGAAGCCCGAATACCTATCAGAATCGTATCGCAGTTTCTCGCCATATAGCCCGCACAAATCACTTCGTTAGCTCGTGTTGTTTTCATTTATTATTGAGGATTGATAGTTTTAATCGTTAGGATTTGCAATCCGACCGTATTAGAGTTAGTTTTTAATGAGAAAAATTATTTTTATTGATCATTAACTCAAATAAAACTATTTCGAATTTATTTAAGAGTAAATATATTATAATATCGTATTGAGAATAAAAATGGTTTTATTGCTTTTGCAATTGGGAATTTGAATGCAAACGAACACCATTGAAAATACATACATTTTTTTATTCGCTGTAAATATTTTTTTTCTTCAGTTTGACACAATGGATGAGCAAATAAAATGTATGTACGTTAAAAAAGTCAAGTAAGAATTTAAAAAGCCTTGAGATTGAGTTGAAGTTTGGGTTTTGAGATTTCTTTAAACATACTTAGACCCATCAACAAATACACAAACACAAACACACACACACAGACACCGCACATACACCCAGACACACACACACATACTTGAATTGAAACACATTATTTGATCTGACACACTATCAACCCTTTTTAATAAATAAATGATTGGTCATTATTTGCAACTTTGAAAATTTGGTTTAAAGTTAATGGGATTATCGAACTTTGATTATTGAGCAATCACTTATATTTTAAAGTGTTGAAGTGTTAATAAAAATTCTCATAGCTAGGAAATTTTCATAATGGTTTAATAATAATAAACAAAATGACGATTCATATAGTTGAATCATTTTGTTAAGCACCCTCCATCTAGTGATTACTTTTCGAAATTCCGCTAGATCGTTTTACTAAATTTTATAGTAGACATACATGTGTGTGTGTTTCTGTGTGTTTGTGTGTCTGTGCGTGTGCGTGTGTGGTGTGTGTGTGCGTGCGTGTGGTGTGTGTGTATGTATGTGTGTGTGTGTGTATGTGTGTGTGTGTGTGTGTGTGTGTGTGTAGCTTTGGTGTCACTTAAACTATTTGAGGTATTATTCAAGAAGAAAATTTTTTAATTTCATTTGTTTCAAGATAGAAATTTTACTTGATTCCACCATACACGTTATACAAGAATATTATAAAACATTCCCAGGAAAATGTTCATTCCCACACCCCATTTATTCATTCATTCATTCATTCATTCATTCATTCATTCATTCATTCATTCATTCATTCATTCATTCATTCATTCATTCATTCATTCATTCATTCATTCATTCATTCATTCATTCATTCATTCATTCATTCATTCATTCATTCATTCATTCATTCATTCATTCATTCATTCATTCATTCATTCATTCATTCATTCATTCATTCATTCATTCATTCATTCATTCATTCATTCATTCATTCGTTCGTTCGTTCGTTCATTCATTCATTCATTCATTCATTCATTCATTCATTCGTTCGTTCGTTCGTTCGTTCGTTCGTTCGTTCGTTCGTTCATCCATTCATCCATTCATTTACGCATTCATTTAACAGAAAAAAGCAACATAAAATTTCATGCATATTAATAACAATTTCTCAAAATTGTTTCTAGGTTGGGTGCAAACAAATAAAAACATGTTATGCAGATAAGATGGTTTTAATATATGCACAGCACAAACATTGTTACGTCAAAAACAGCATCATCACTCTGCCTACATTAAACTCCGTTGAACCTACGAAATGTCTGTGGCTGGTTCGGCGTTTTATTTTTTTCATTCGAAGTTTGTTTGAATTAAAAAAAAAGTTTTTATTTTGTTTTTCTGTATTTATGTGTAAATAAAATCAAAATACAGAAAACTCATATGTTACTTTCAACATATAGCTATGTTTTCTACCTCATATATCATTCAGTTGTAACGTGTTAACAATCCATATTGATTGTTAACCAGTCAAATGTTAGCAAGAGTGTCGGTGGAGTTTGAAACAGTTGCATGTGTGCTAGTAGCGATGAAAGACATTTATTTGCTTATAAATTGGATGGATGGATGATTGGATTGATGGATGGACGGACGGACGGACGGATGGATGAATGGATGGATGGATGGATGGATGGTTGAATAGATAGATGTATGGCAGGACTGACTAACTGACTGAATGACTGAATAAATGATAGAATAGAGAAAGATGTAACTTTCATTCATTAACAGAGAAATAATTTCAAAGAAATGAAATGATAAACCGTTGTACTTCAAATTTATTCATCCAAAACTTACAGAATACGTGTACAATATGGTTAACATGAACTCTACAGAATCAAAACGCCTACATCAACTAATAAATCAATCAACTCATTCTTGAAACATCTTTAAAAGATGAAATAACAAAAGACTGGCGCGTGAGTGTGTCGGTGAGTCTGGCTGAGTGAGTATGTCTTTGGCTGGGTGTCTTAAATTTCATAATTGATAACAAAAGACTTACGATATAATAATGTATCAATTGTGGTGCAGCGGCTTGGTACATCAAACAGACGAAGATCATATTTCATTGCCTATCTATCTATCTATCAACCAATAGTGCATTCCACAGTGCATGCATGCACTCCAAAGTGTTTTTATTCATTCTACAGTGCATGCATTGTTTTTATTCATTTTAAAATGCATGCGTGCATTCCACAGTGCATGCATGCATTCCACAGTGCATGTATGCATGCTTCAGTACGTTTATTCATTCCATAGTACATCTAGGTGCATTCCACAGTGTTTGTATTTATTATAAAGTGCATGCATTCATTCCAAATTTTATGTATCCATTCCACAGAGCATGCATGCATTTCACCGTGCATGTATGCATTCCAGTGGGAGGCTGATGTATGTATGCCTATCACAATTAACAGTTATTGGCAGATGATTTAGGAAACAGATACATGCAGATGTCTGATTGGATATGCTGATGGACAGATGGATGGATGAATCAATGGATGGATAGATAAATAGATAGAAAGATAGATATATGGATAGATGGATAAATAAATAAATAACTTACTGAATGAATGACTGAATGAAGAATGGAATGAATAAATGCTGAATGAATAAACGAACGTACGAATGAACGTACGAACGTACGAACGAATGAATGAATGAATAAATGAATGAATGAATAAAGGAATAAATATATTTTCTTTAAAAGGATGCATGTGTCAAGTCAGTAGGTCAATCTAAGCAACAGACATAATTGTTGTAATTGTTACACGAACATCAAATTGTGAGTTTGTGAGCCTGTGTGTTTTGTGCTCGTTTATTTGTGAATGTGTTTTGATATGTGTGAGTGTGGAATGAGTGTCTGTGTGTGTGAATATGTGTTGATGTGTGTGTGAGAGTGTGGAGTGTGTGTGTGAATGTGTGTCTTTTATAGTCCATTAACTTTGTATGTGTGTGTGTACGTGTGTTTGTATGGTTATATGTTTAGTTCTGATCGACTTGATAAATTTGTTGATTAACAATGTTCTAATTAGTTAAGATGCATTTATATAATTGAATTAATTCCGTAAAACTTAACTTCTCTTTAGATATACAACATATTTGCACAATCTCGTAAGGTCTGTCGTCTGTTCAAATGTTTTCTTTCGACAAAACATCATAAATTGAAACGATTTTACATTAAAAAGTTAACATGCTGAAACGTGTTAAAACGTCTTGAAATTTGAGTTAAACTCAAAAAAGTACCGAAACGGACTAGATGTAGACTTATATATGTACGTGTATGTATCGATCGATCGATAATGCTACATTTGTGATTTTCGCCACAGCGGAAGCCGAACTAAGTTGCATATTAAACTTTTATTCGACTACTCCTATATGACTTTATTTATCGTAGATTTCCCAATTTCTGTGGTGACCAGCGAATTTCTCGGACTAAAATGTTTCTCTTCTCAAAGAATTTGATTCACTTGCGAAGAATGCAAAATCTGTCGCCACATCAAAAATGTTCTTTGTAGTAAACATCACATCATCATTTTTTTCTTTTAATTCTACTATCTTTTCATCATCATCATCACCATCATCATCATCATCATCATCACTATTATCATCCTCATCATCACTTTCATCACCATCATCATCACCATCATCAAATGGTTCAAACGTTAGCAGCAGAAATTTTCGTGAGTTTTTGTTTAACCGAACAAAAAGTTTGTTTCCACAGAGGTCATAGAAACAATTTTTCATGTTTCTTACTTCATGAAACTTCAATTTTGTCTCAGGGTTTTAAAATAATTTTTTTGTTGTGTTTAGTTTTGCTTGACTCTTTTAATAGTTTAGTTATCTGTTTTACAAATAAAGCGTTTAAAAAATATATGAAATGTTAATCGATTTCATGTGCAAACATTCTTCCAGCTTGGGACAACATAAATTTTAATTTAATTGAAATAAATTGGAACAAAACTTTTTAACAAACAACCGTCTGCAAAATTTTATGTATTGTTTTCAATTTGGTTTCAGAGCTACCAAATTTCATTGCATGCAATCCAAATTATTTCACCCCGTTTCAGTCTGGTTATATTTCAGCTAACCTATTTTTCCATCTCCAGCCAGACACCTCGTTGGAGATGGTTCGTTCTCGATAATGGAAAAAAAATTTTTTATTTTATATTCCGTTTTTACATCAAATCATGACGTTGCAGCGATACATTTTTAATGAAGGTTAAAGGTCACTCTCTCTTTTGCTATAGTCAGAAACTTCAACAACCATTCACACACACACGCACACATGCACATACACCCACACACGCACATACATATACTTGCACGCACACGCAAACACCATGTAGATGCCACGTAGATGGATGCCAGTGCGTGTGCGTGTGTGAGTCTGTGTACGAGTGTGTGAGTCTGTATATGTGCATACGTGCGTGTGAATGTGTGTAAATGCGTGTGTGATCTGGTGTGTTTGTTTATAAGTGCACATGTGCGTGCATGTGGAGCGCATCTGTGTCTGTAAAATGTGCTAACGTGCCTACACACTCACTGTACGTGCAGTGTACACATTTGAATAAAGAAAGCAAATGCATGAAACACGTGCGGTCTGACACGTGCCTCCTCTAACTGTGTCTCGTTCGCTGGCTGGCT